CAGCAAGAGATTCTCAAGCTCACCAACAAGCGAGTTGGAGAACGAAAGAATGTCAAGGCAGAAACGCTCGAATGGATGGGAAGAGCCTATATTGATCAAGGTCGCCACGCGAAAGCAATAACGGTATTACTAGAATGTCTCGAAGTCAGAGAGAAAATTCTCGCCAAAATTGAAAGCACAGAAGCGGCAAAGGACGAACACATCGAGCTCTTGGACACGATATCGTGGCTGGTCAAGGCCTATCAAGCATCGGGTAAACTCGATGAAGCCGAAGAGCTGGCTAAGCGGATGGTGCGGGAAAAGACAGAGTTGTTGGGTGCGTCCGATCCCCTTACACTCGACTCTCTCGCTTGGATCGTCCTCTTGCTCGGTGATCGGCAGCGCTACGAGGAAATGGAAGTCAAGGCCAAAGAATTGCTCGAAGGGAGGCTCAATGCGGGTGGGCCAGACGACCCCGCCACTTGGACGGCCAACTATTGGGTCGGCCGAGCCTACTGCCACCTCGGAAAGTTTGAAGAGTCGGAGGTGCTCTTACGAGACGTGTGGGAGAAGCGCAAGGTCAAATTGGGAGAGAACCATTTGGACACGCTCACCGTGCTCTCCTGGCTCGGCAGGCTATGCACCGATGCTAAAAAGTATGAAGAAGCCAACAAGCTTCGAGTGGAAGAACTCGAGAGGAGGATCCAAGTCCAAGGCGAAACCAATATAAACAATGCCGTCGTCCTCGAAGCGCTCGTGGCGATCCGATGCAAGATGGGCGACTTGGACGCTGCCGAGTCCTATTGTAACGAAGCGATCGAAATCCGAAAGCTCAAGGGGGGCGAAAAGAGTTTGGGCTATGCTAATGCGAGAGCGTGGCTGGGCGAGGTCTGCTTTCTAAAGCAAAAGTATGAAGAGTCGGTTGCCATCCGGAGAGGAGCGTTGGCGACACGAATGGAATTGTTGGAACCGCGTCATCGACTGATTGGGTTTAGCAAGTGCAAGCTCGCGCTAGTACTCCATACCATGGGGGGCCATGACGCAGAGGCGGAAGAGTTGATAAAGGAGGGGGTGGAGATCATGAAGGACACAGTTCGAGCAGACGACCCTTCATTGGAAGAGGCATTAGATATCCTCAAAAAGATTATAGGTGAAGATACTCAGGAAGCAACAAAGGCAACAGGACCACAGACTGAGCCCCATGTACCACAAACTAGTTAATCTCTTTACGGACATGTTTATCTTTTTATTCAATCAACCTGGAATCAAATCAAAGCAGTCTTCATTTCAGATCGTTACTATTTGTCGCTTGTATACAACAGAGATTGTGGTAGTGTGAGGGGGGAATACGTGCCCCAAACTCCCAATCCAAGGGTCCTTGGCCACCTTTAGATAAAAGTGCAGGATTTAACATTGTTGTGCGTGACGAGCGAGACAAGGTCCTTGGAGGGAGGAAGAATGGGCAACGAAACCTGGGAAGAGATGAAAAGTCCAATATGCAAAAAGAGATGAGAGAAGATGAATGTTAAAAATGCAATAAGAATCAAGATGAAAGAGGATGTGAAATGAGAGAGAGTGGGGGAATGAGTGATCATAGGTACAATGCGGCGGTCACGGCACCGGACGCCACAAGCAACACTGCACTCATCCACCCAGACGAGGAGACCGAGCGCGTAGCCGCCGCCCGAATAATCGTACCATTCGAATTCCCATTCGAATCAATCGCAAAGCCAGCAACACCCAACGGCCCAAACGACTGCACGTCCTCCTTGAGGGTCGCAAACCCGACCGCGGCCGGGCTGGCCTGAAAGACAGTGTAGACATTTTTCAAAAAGGCACTGCCGACGACCCAGGTCGGGAAACTGGACGAGCTCGGGATGGGTGAGCTTCCGGAACCGAGATTGAGGCTGAAAAAGGCGCCGAGGCAGGCCCCGTTCGAATAGCTGCCACCGATCAAGTCTGAAGCGGTCATCGTGTACGTTACTCCGCCAAAGGTAAGAGCGGCTTGTGCATTCGTGTCACAGGCTAAACAAGAGTGAGTGCGCGGTTTCAATTTGACATAAAATGAACTCACGAATGAGATAATAGTCTTCGAGGTTGGGGTCGAGAGAAGAACCACGGGTGGCACCGGGAATCTGGGCATAAAATTGGTCCAAGACGCTCGAGGGTCCACCAATCAAGGTCGTGCCAGTATCGATTGCGGCATTGGCGGTCGAACCGCTGAGCGAGATCGATTCGCCATTAACCAGACCGAGAGAGGTCATGGGGATTGTCCAATATTGCGCCCTCGTGAGCGAGGTATAATTAATTTCGCCATTGTAGAGCGAAGAGTTGGTGCCACCCATCGTAAATTGTCCTCCGGGCTCGTCATCGCCACTGGCTCCTCGGGTATTGCGGTACCTAAGACGAGGTTAATAATGATCAAATTGTAAACAACCAACACATACCTCGTGAAATAAAAGGACATTTGGGGATTGGTCCATGCGCTACTGGCTCGTTGCCACCAAGGCGTTGCGCCGGTACTCGCCAAGCTCTCAAAGCCAAGGCCCATCAAGCCCGACAAGTTACCGGTCAAAAAACTATTGGACACTTGGGTGGCCACGCCAAAGACCTGATCAGCGATCTGAAAACCGCCCATGGTGACCACGTCTCGTCCGAGTGCGCCCGCCGCTCGACCAGACCCATAGCTGACGTCGAGCGTGCCCGACACTTGTTGAAATGTGGACGACTCATTTTCTTGGAACAAGTTTCCAGTCGTTTGTTGTGCGCATCGAGCACAAGATGCAGAGCTGATCCACAGGTCACTATTAATAGAAAGAAAGAGAGAATAGGAGTGAGCCACCATGCGAACAATGTAGAGTTGAGAGTGAATTGGACGTACGCTGAGCCAGTATCGAGGACGACGGTGTATGGCTGGGGCGGAGTGCCGACTTGCATGACCCCATAATAGCTCGTGTCGGCCTGCTGGTTGGTCATTGAGATGGTGACGAGTTCGCGGGACTTGAGCTTGGATTGAGCGCCATATTTGACTCTGTACGAGTCCGAGAGTTGGGCCCACTCCTCCGGTGTCCTGTCCTTGCGAAACACTGGCCGGGTTAGAGGGATGGTGACCGGTTCAGTACTACTTCCGTCCTGTCGGCGTTGGAGAGTAGGATCGTCCCT